GTTCTAACACGGTTCTGGCTGCGGGTAGCCGTATCAAGCGCGTTTCACCACGTCGAAATACCACCAGGGATGATGCACCGACCAAACCTTAGTACAGACCTCCTGTTCCCCTTCTGTATCTCTTCAGACACTCTGTGTATTAGTAGAGAAGAGCAGAGGAGTGGCTGAAGAACTCGGTCTTCCCAGAAACTGAAACGCGTCATCAGAAAACTCTTCTATCCTACTCCAGGTAGAATAACGATGCACGGTGCACCGTTGGTGGGGCGAAAGAAAGAGAGAGAGAGACGAAGTTTTCGAGAACGCTCCTACCTCGTACACTCGAGAGAAGAATTTTTCGGGGGATCAGACCTCTCTCGATATTCCGGTTTGATCGTTGCACAACGTTACTCTCGAATTCCGTTCGTCGCACACCACCAGCAGCAGCAGCGGCACCACTCGTAGCTCTCTTCGTCCGCCACAGTTTATTTTCTTCTTTCTCGCCCTCTTCGATCGACCGTTGTTCATCGTCGTAGCCAGCCGATCGTTTATCCGCGGTTCGCGCGGTGCACGACCGGCGAGGAGAGGTACACGGCCGCGAAACAGTTTTCAGGGCCAATGGAGAACCGAACCACGGCTCTGAAGTATTTCCGCTCGACTTTGACACTGGCGCTGGGGACCAGCCACAGCCGGTCAGGCTCGTGCGTACGCACGACGATTACGCCGGTTAATTGGCCATTTTCGCACGTAAATCAGCCACGTTTCGCACCGTGGCCTACCTTCGCTCAGCGCTGGCCGCCGCCCAAGGTCCAACTCTTGTCGCTCGCTTCTTTTTCGCCTCTCTATACGATGTTTTCGTCCGCCACCAATCCAAACGTATCGGCCCTCTAATGGAACATACTTACGGAACAGATTTATGCGTCCTGTCGGGCGTGGCCGATTCAGAAAATAACGTGGAAGCAGCCTTGCGACCGCATTTTTCCGCGCCTGGTACAAACGCTGTTGATCTTCCGGGACGGACACCGCCGGTTTTATGCACTCGACCACACCAAGTGTCTTTGCTCCGGGCCCACCACGTTTATGAACACCTTGCTTGTTACTTTGTTGCAACTGATCGGACCCGATACGCCAGGCTATTTGATCAAATTTACCTGTTGGACAATGGAACCGAAGGTCTTTACAGCCTTTTGTTCCGGAGACTTTTTCTTGTTTGTCTTGTTGTGCTTTTGCTTCGATCGGGGGTGGATGTAAACCATTCGAGTATTGTGTTCTCTGGTTGTTAAAGGATATCGGGGAGATAGGATTGGCGAGTTATTTGTAAGGAATTGATAGGAATTGGTGAGTTATTGTGGGCGATGTCTTTGAACAATGGTTTGAAGTGGGAAGTTTCTTATTTCTGTTTTGATTATTGCTGGATCAAGTAATACGTTTGAAATCTCTATTGTAAGGGTTATTTCGAAGAGATTCGTTCAGAGATTCTTATCAATGGTAAAATTACGAAACTGCAAAAGTTCAATTTTTGAGGAGAGAAAAAAATCACTTTGTTGATAAAACGCAATCATCTTAGAATCAGTGTGAAGAAAAATTCAGTTTCTACAATTTCGCAATTTTATCATTGGCCAAAGTTACCATCTTTCGCAATTGCCATTTGCCAAAGTCTACCTGTAAATCTTCTACGATTGGGAAAGACTCTCGAAGCTATCAATCCTGGTTTGATTATCATTAGGCCAAGTGCCAATACTAAAACACTCGTCAAGCACTTTTCTAACCTTCTTACTAAAAGCTACTCTATTACAGATTTATCTATTCACGAAATCACAGAGAAAAGATTCACATCTCCCAAATTTCAAAAAATATTTGACCTCGTTCTTTATGAGTTAGCAAAAGGTTCCAAAGTGTCAAGTACTCCTCAAATATTTTCGTATCTTCTATAAGATTCTTGCTCTCTTGACACTTTACCTCCAATCATTTCCACATTTCTTTAAAACTACAATAATAAAGCTTCGCAACGAATGACAGAAGATTCTCTCGAAAGACAGATTGATCGGCGAAATTGCACGGACGCGGATCAAAAAGGTATGACCCACATTGCGCAAGCTCCTAGACAATGGAGGAGAATGGCGACGTCGGATCCTTTGGAATCGAAGTTTCATAACTGAATCTCGATACGTGCTCTCGGTGACAGGTATTCGTTGTCGAGCCGGTATATCTCGAAATTTTTGCCGACGCGAGAGGCGCGAGCGCGAGCAAGATGGAAAATCCGTGCACCGGAGCGGGAACGGCGACCGAGATGGAGAGAATGGCCTGGGCGACGCTCAAAGAGAGGCGTCGTTAAGAATTTTTGTGGAATTCAATACACTGGTCAGCCTCGAAGCGCCGCACCTGTGCCGGGCCCAGGTAACGCGACACTCTGAAACTCTTTTTCGTTCCTCCTCCCTCCCTCCCTCCCTCCCTTCTTTCTTTCTCTCTCTTTCTTTGTGGTCCATTCACCGGGGGTTGAACGATTTTCGATCAGCTATCGTCTTCCTCTTTATGATCGAACAGTGGAAAAGTGTTGGAACGAGTCTTAAGTTTCTGTATTATTTATACGCGAAGTTTAAGTCAGCTCGTTTCAGTCTTCGAAGCTAGAGATATCATTTAGATCGTTTTTTCAATTATGACATTCTTCGTCGTGCATAGATAATTTGATTATTACCACAGACGGTTATCTAAGGTTTGTTTCCGCTATCTGCCCTTGGCCCCGTTGCGAGGCCGCAAGATTAAAGGCGCCAGAACTGTTTAAATATTCATCGAATCTGCGAAAAGAGCAGTAACAAGTCATCTTTTATTTTATTGCCGCTTCATTGCCGTCGTGGTTTTGTTTGTTCCGTCTTCGGTTAGTTATGGAAAAAGTTCGTCTGTCAAGGAGCCAGTGACTTCGTTGGAATTCGATGACTCCGCGCTGGGATGATTTGAAGTATTCGTTAACCCCTTAACAACAGACCACTCCTTTTAAAAACTAGTCGGAATTTTTATTCCATTATCACAGTCATGTGGAAAATTTTCAAACCTCTAGGTATCATTTTTATAAAAAAAATTTCTAATATTTTATATTTTAACGGTGTTTACAAAATGTTGAAATAAAATTACTGCACGAAAATATATGCTCGAAACGAATTAATTTAGAGAATCAATACTGCAATTAGCGAAATTAGACAAAGTTAGGATGAAATTGGATCTATAATGAATTCAAGTAAGCCACTTCACTTTCGTATTTTTATTATGATGTTTTAATATGGAATTAGATACCATATTTGGTAATAATTCCTGCCAATTTGTGTCAGCAGAGCAATTTTGCAACACATTCGTTCTTCGCAGGCACGAGTATTAGCGATACTGTTTCTCGAAAATAAGTCGTAAGGCAAGGGGTTAAGACAGTAAGGCAGGTCGAGGATTATCCAGAAGCGCCACGTCAGTCGATACCTCGGGGTACGTTTTCTCGTTACCGATACCGTGCTCCAACTGCTTAGGCGTCTAATGAGCATCGTCTCGCGTGAACGCACGATCATAAAAAGATATATGTTACAAGGTAGCGATAACAGATTCCGTGGTGGTTTAACCTTGTTCATCCCGCTAGTGGATTAATGAAACCGAAGAAATAGGAAACGATCCCGACGTCCACTTTGTGTTTTTTATCGGTAGCAGAGTTTCTTCTTGGAGAAATTCGTAAATGAAGTTCCACAAAATTCGACTAACTTCGCTGAAAGAGGAATAATTATGAAGTAAACGAACGAATGGTAGCGGATAAAACTTTTCACGATTCCACAGGTTTTTAGAGGTTGGAATCTTCGTTTTACGATACCCGAAGGGGTTATGGAGATGTGTTTTTTTTCGCTTTTCTCTCTCTGTTCCTGAGCAAACGTTTGCACGGCTGAAAGCGGCAGCACGGTTTATTAAAAGAAATTCTGCAACAGCTGGGAATCCCCAGGTCAAAGGATCGCCCAGTTTTTCGGGGAGGATGGTCACGCTCCGTTGAGCAGAAAAAGAGAAGAAGGTGTTGGAGAATTTATAGGAACGTATCGGTCTATACCACGAAAAGTCACGATGTTTACAAGGAATTTCCATAAAATACGCGCTCATGAATACGTTGAGTCACTTTGCCAATCGTAACGATAGAACGGCTTCCTTTTTTTCCCTATTCGACACCTACGATCCGACGAACCGGATTTTCTGCGGTGTACCTCCGCGCGTTCACCCTCCGCAAATGCAAATCTCGATGTTCCAGAGCGGTATAATTCGAATCTTTCCTCTTGTTTCTGCTCTAGTCGTTGATATCTAGGCTTCGGACAGTTGCATCGTACAATAGTAGGTACCATAATGGTTGATATTTCTTGGAACCGTCGGTTGTTCAAAGTGCAAGAGGAATATGTTTAGTAGGTTTCGATAATCGAGAAACGAAGTAGTAGAAAACTT